AGGTCTTGGGTGGAAAACATGTAACCTGCTGGTTTTAGCCAAATGCACTTATCAACATCATAGCTTTGAAGTGCGTTACCTACCCCAATTCGGTTTTCTTCTCAATGTTTTTTGAAGCGAGTTTTCAATTTCAAGGGAGTTTTACGAATTGAAAGGCAGGAGTGAAATAGGCAATTAATCAAATTCGAGGTGGCTGCGGTACTTGTTCATGATTGGAAAGAAATAGAAAAAAATCTGTTGAGGACACATGAAAAAAGACGTCGAGTTCTGCAACGGCATTAGGTGGTTTGAAAAATGTTTTGAAGTTTCGATTTCAGCAATAACTACTCGTTTGCGTGTCTCACTGCGTACTTGCTCCCTTTTCAAGATATCTTATCTCAACTTCTCAGGACATTGTCGGAACATACTTCGAAGGTAGCTTATGGGGTCTATGGCCTTCGCAAAGGCCACAGGGGACCTATTGTCGTTTTGAAAAGAGCCTACATAAGGCGTAATATGGCCAAAAAGCGGTTTCGATGTCCACTGCGTTCAACTTATATCCAGGAAGATCATTTAATTCGAAACTCATTCACATTTACAAACATTCACATGGGAAGCTCCCGAACAGGTAGAAGTTGAAACTATCGTGCCTCAGATTCAAGTAGTCACTCAGATTCATCCAACCACAACGAAGATATCATTTTGTAATCGTTCGTCGTAAATCGCTGGCACCTTTGAGAGTGCCTTTTGAGTTTTTCATTTTTATATTTATTTTTTAAATTTTTTAGAAATATTTCCTTTTCATGGGACCTACTTAGAGGGATGTAGAGCGTTGTACTTTTGTTTGAAGTGCTTCTTCTAGTATTGGATTAATAGTGCTAGTGTAGCCCAAAGTAATACCAACTTGGATTCCAATAGACGGATGCCAGAACGAATAGTGCATGTGTCCCCCAATTCAAATTCAATGTACTTTGACGTTGTTTTGATGCACTATGTGATAGTTTTTGCCAATTCACCCAGACGGAAGCGACAAATGCCAAGCCGCGATTGACAGAGTGGTCTCTTCAAGGATGGACATCCCCCTCCAGTCTGCTTGCCTGGTTGAATGTTATTCGCTTCCATCTGAGCTATCTTTAACCTCTAAAATCACGGACATAGCTCCATCCAGCTCAGGAGGGCTCAGTAACTTGACTCAAGTTTTGGCGTAATGTAGAAGTCCGTTAAGTAGCTCTTGCATCGCCCATGAAAGTAGGACAACCCTGTTTAACTAGGCTTGATGTCCAGTTCAACTAGAAAAAGAGGTGCGCTTATAGCAAAGCGGTCGTTTTTCGGGATTTACTTCTCTTTTTCCTCCATGAAGTAAGGGGTCTCCTTGAGAACCCTTACTTCATGGACAAAAACAGGACATTCCATGAAATTGGCTGGGCTATCTTCATTTTCCGCAGTTCCAAAGCTGGCTTTTAGAAGAGAACCGAATCAGGACCGAACCCAGGAAATGCCTACCCTAATGAAAGCTGCACTGCATAATCTATATTTCCGCATTAGCGTAATGTCTTATTCATCCTTCTCCTATTATTATTTTTTACCAACTCTCCTCAATAGCATTGGCCCCGCCTGATGGTTTGCAGCAACTTCTGTTGGGATTGGCTTCAGTCCCAGAACCTGGAGTTACTGATGGTCTGGAGTTACTGAATTTTTTCATGCTACTTCAGCTATCATCACCGCTGCCCGAAACCATTCGTTTGCGAAGATCTGTTTGTATACGGCTGTAAAAGGCAGTTTTGATAGCCTTCTTAATAGGATCGAATTGATTGCTCTCGTTGGTTCGAGAGTGTCGGTGCTACTGCTAAGCAGGTAGGGAATTCTATTGAAGTCGAGCATCCTTGCCTTTTTCCTCGGGGTGGGCTACTTTTCCTAGACTCGTTACACCCACTTGCAAATCTCGCGGAGCTAGAATGCCTGGGTGTGATATAGCAATTTGGGACGTTACCCTTAACATGTAGTCGTGGTCGTTTTATGAGGAATTTCTGGCTCTACACTCTTAACCGTGGAAGCACTGCTGGTTTATTGCTTGCTCCCTCTCCGTGAATTAGCTAAAGAGAGCTTCAGCGTCCTGGCATTATCGGATAGTTTATAGAACGGTCACATTCTCTCGAAATTTGAAGGGAATGCTCCTTGCTCCATCGGATTTTATTTATGGAAATGTGATTTTCGGAGAACTCCCATGCCAAAATCTATTCAACCCCAGCCCCTCTTCACCGCCGGACTACATCGGTACTCTGCTCTTTTCTATCCACTCCGATTTGGGAGTTCTCACATTTCTTGATTTTTTGCATAATTGGAACCCATTGCCGCTCTTTGCTGGCCATTTCGCTTGAAAAATATCTTCGATGACGGAAGCTGGTACAGGAAATAGTCGGCTAGACAATTACTGAAGCGGAATGTCGGGTTCGACAGTATGTGCAGCCCTTGTGACCCACAGCTGGTTTTCCTACTTTCATTTCCACCCTCTAAACATCCATAAAAGAATCAAATCCAAACGATGAGTCTTCCCGGGAGCCGATGTATAATTCAGTGCTTTTAGTGCTCCCGGACCAGTCTAATGTCTAATACCAATTGAGCGATCCCGGAGGAATGGGAGACTTGGTTGCCCTCGGCCTTTTAGAGACCAGGGTTTGATTCCAGGGTCCTAGTCATAAACATGATGATAAATTCAGAGGAAAAACTTGCCAGGTTTTTTGATTCTGATGAATTCGTCCGGTACGTTCTATAGATTTCGTATTGTACCTGTACATGATATGCTCAGTCTTCAAATGCTTCCACACAGACACAGCACCAATTCCTTCAGGAAGAGACCAGAAAAGGGGAAAGTAGGAAACACTCGAATTTCTAAGAGGCCCTTCTTCCAATACTTCAGCGTCGAAAGCTGCAAGACGATGGGAATGTTCCGAAAAAAAACGCAGTATTTTCATTACCGTCTGTCCTTACCGTGACTTCTAAAGTGTTTGTCTCTGCTTAAAGTGTGTTCCCAGGGTATCAGGTAGTCATTTTGGGACCTTTGCTAAAGATTCAGCTTGAATGACATTGTAGACCTTATCTAATTAAGTGCTTAAATTAAAATGGAATGAAGCAATCCTAGTCAGTTGTGCTCGCTCGCCACAATGTGCTACCTGTTCTACTTGACTTGTTCTTTAAGCCGAACTTTTTCCTGAGCCATACCAAACCTTCAATCTTTTGGATGTTCTTTTATGAGGGCATTCAACGCATTCAGCTTGCGAGACGTCATTTCTTAGAGGGTTCCCACCTCTTCCTCCTACACCTCTCACCTTTTTGTTAGTAAATGTTAGTATCACTATGGAATTAAAGAAGGGCTTGGCTACTGTGACCATTGTACTTTCCTGAGGATGCTTTGACAATTACTTTCTAAGGTAGGTACGTATTATCATGTTTTAGGAGGTGTTCATGGGAATGCTTTCCGTTACCATGGGGAGAGGCGTATTGTTTGGACCTCAAAAAGGATGCCTTATCGGAATACAATAACAAAGAAGTTGAAAATCAATTCACCCGGAAATTCCTATAGGAACATTGAAGGGGCCCTGATTAATTCTAGGTGGACCATGCCGATCATCAAGGTGGCTCTTCCATTTTGAGATTGCTGTCTCAGTGGATAACAATGACAATCATTGTGGAATCTGAACACTAAAAGCGATTTCCTTTTTCTATTCTCATAGCTCTGTTGAGGGTTTTGAATTTCGTAGAGCGGATTGAATTACTAATCGACCAACATGGCCGCCAGATGCTGATGATTCTTCATTTTTTCGCCATGGTCCGATCTGACAGCTATATGAAAGGGCTTCAAGACTGTGGCTAGTCTTTAAAATTGCCCGACAAAATAGTCCTCATTCATCAGGATAAAGCGCTAAAGCTTCAAGAGCTTTCGAGAGCACTTTGCATTCCTCATTCTGAACACTTTATTTGAAGGGCAGACAAACGACCTCATCAACGGAATCCCATTTGAGCATAGTTAAGGCGATTGGCAATAGGCCTTGTTTTTGCCACACCCATTGTCTGAAAATGGTGCAACGCCCATCTATTAAGTTACGATATCTCTTTACCCACTACCTCATTCTCCCGAAAGGTTTTCCTTATGTTATGTTCATATGTGGTTCGGCATAGCACGAACTGTCGCCCTTTGGGGTACATCATGCACTTAAAATTGGACCTGATGTCAAACTAGATGGGTGACGTTCTCCCTGGGACAGTTTACAGTTCTTCTTCTTTAATCTGGAACTCATTATTTTTCCTTCCCATAAAAGTCAAGCATGCTCCCGTGCTTCCGCAGGTATGGCGTGCAGATGGGCTTCCACAGAGCAGGATCTACCTGTGGTGGTATAGCGAAGGCTTAAAGAGTCTTAGAGTCTTGCATATCGGCAGGTTTCGGAAAGTCCCTGAATAGCCTAAGTAGAATAGAGCGAATTTGTTGACATCAATCAGTTGTTTTTGGGATTAAGCCATGCATTCGATCTCCAGTCCGAATCGTAATCCCGCTTGAATTCCTATTAGGCCCACACAACAACTTGCAGAGGCCTGTAAAGTACAAGGTGGTGCCTCAATGTTTAGGAGTGTCCGTGTCAATTTCTTTCAGATGTGATTAAACTATATGATCCTCTCCCGAGTGAGGGTTCGAAAGTTGGGTCCAAAGAGATCTGATTAACACCAGTACTTTGCCCCTTTTATCCATTCACGGCTACAATTTTCGATTGCCTACACTCTGGATTTTCCCTGGGGATCTCAGGTGATTGATGGCTGTGACAAAAAAGCGTTATAAAAGAAATGCTGTAATTGAATGGGCCCTATGAATTCTCTAACTCAGCCATTACAGGTTCATGGAAGTACCTAGTACCTAGTTAGAAGTGAATAACTGTCTTTTAGTGATTTCATCCCATTGATTTCTTCTGCTTCTAGAGAGGATCAGTATGACGTGGTTGACGTTTGTATTACTAGAGCCCACTCACGGGTTCTCACAATAAGCCCGTGTTTTTCAGATTGCCGTCATTTTCCCGTCCTTCTTCCCGGCCAATCCCACCCATTTTCGCAAAGGTTTTAACGTAAATCCCTTTCACGCTCTGCCTTGTCCGCATAATCTCCACCCGGAACGTCTTCGCAAAGCCAACTCGCTCCTCATGGAAGTTTGTTTTGACACCGCCTCTGTTCGACATGGGGAATTGGGGCATTTTCTGCTGATCGTTTTGTTGACGTCTTTGGGGTACAGCTGAAGATGACTGACATTTGCTTCGTAGACGCCTTGCCTCTTCGTAAACCTGACAGCTTGAAGACTTTCCTGGCTTTTTGGGCCATTTTCCCATTCTCTACATCGAAATCGTCGTAAACGTTATAGCACATTAGTCTTTGAGTCTTTGAATTGCCTCAAATTCGTTGGGCTGATTGTTCGCAGTCATCTAGATCCAAGCCTTTTCCCATTTTCAGTCTTCCATGATAGAAATCTCTGAAGGCTTCGTTCGATATATTCAAGCTGAAAGGAAGGTCCATCCTTTTGGGAAGGGTATCATTAGAACCTCTTTCTGTGGGGTATCATCACCATGGCGTTGGGCCCACATTTCGGGGCTCAGCCTTAAGCACCTGATATCTTTTTCCTGGCATTGATTCTGTCCCGTCGCGCTCCAGATTAGATTTTTAGAACTCCCATACACCACTAGCTTTCTCCACGATACCGAGAGAGTTCTTCACCGTGAGAGTTAGGGATTTTATAGTTTTTGGGAGCTGATTTCTTGAACGTGAATCTTACATGAGGTGAGTAATCTAACCTAGTCGTCCTTGGTGACATGAAGAAGCAAAAAGTAATATCCTCCAGCGTTGGTCAGCTCTTTTTTTTTCATATAACACATACTTGAGTATCAACTGGTATTTTGGATTAAAATGGCATCCTGGAGGCGTATTTAGCCTGGGAGAGAGGGTGACGGGAAGGCACGGGGACAGTACCGTTTTACAAGTCATTAATTTCATCCGCAAAGATAATGCCACGTATCGAAGATTAGAGGTTGGTAAGAAATCGGTTTTATGGCAAACCTGCTTCAACGAGTAGGCGTGTATTGGCGAAGCCATTTGGCACTGTTCTGTCTCCCCAATCTTTTTGAAGACATAATCTTCAAGCATTTCTCTAGAGCTACTGATTGTTTCCGAGAAAATCCTATTTCTCTGCCTCCGCTCTCTGCTCATTTCTCGAACTTTCTGGACTTAGAGAGGTTATGAGATATGGCCTCTGGGCCTATTTTTAGGAGCTCACTGGTTTTCTAAACTAACTATTCATCTTCTTCCTCCTAGTTTATCGCTAAATTGATTGTCGCTACAATTAATATCCTTTATTCTTTAGCCTTCTGTTCATAGCCGCCCTCTGCATGCAACTCTGATGTGAGACTCCCTGATCATAACTGCTTTGCAGAAAATATCTTTTCTGGAAACTCTGGAGCTCCAAGGGGGAATTCTAGAAATTCATGAGCCCTCAATTATTTATAATTGGAGCGTTGATGAGAAATTAACGCTGAGTTATTCCTCGTTCATTGACTTTATCGTTTGTGTTCTGAGATTTCAGGCCTTTGCTGTTCCACCGCTTTCTTCAAATATAACAATGCGGCTGCCGAGTATTTTTGGTATGCGCGTGGAACTACCAGCTGACGATCCGTTCGGATATGAGTAAGTTATTAACTTGTACTTTTCCTTTGTTTAAGTCTTTTTGAGTCCTTGTCGAATGATATGGGATTGGAGGTACCACATAAGTACTATAGCAATGAAATATTCGGGCGATGGCTAGGCAAACCAGGAAGTTCCCGTCCTTTGGAGCTTGTTTTTTTTAGCGAATGAACCGACTGGGACGCCCAAACCCCAGATCTACCGGAGGGTTGGCTCGTAGACAAGTCTTTAGTTGGGTAATATGGCCATTCAACATCACCGCGAGTCTATGTGGAAGTCAATAGCGGGGGTAACCCAGATTGAGCTTGAGAAATCAATTTTACCTATGTTGAACATGATTTCAGTAAACATGGTGTCTGTATAGTGACACCGGACGAACAATTCAAAGTCGTCATCTATGGTAATCACTTGGATAAGATCGCACAACTGATTTTTACTCCAACAAACAGCTGTTCTGATGGAAAACACGTCGTGGACGCCACTAATGACTTCATCGTTCATTTTACTCATAAGGTAAGTTTGAGCTAATTTGGTGTTTCTACTGTTTCGCAATACCGTATTCCAACTACTACGGTANTCGAACTTCCTAAATTTCCAGGCTACGTTCCATTTGATGCTTCCAATGCTTCCCGAAAGTATTCATGCATACAAAATGTGTGTAAAACCGAAAGGCGCCTTGCCTGGCATGGAACTCAGTCCGGTACGTATCATCAACTTTTATTAGTTGCCTTATTGGGAAGAGAAGTAGTAAGTGAACTAGTTGGGCTACTTTAGGCTGCACAAAGTAACTGGTTTTTGGTCACAAGTTCTAATAGGAAATATTGAAGAGTACTGATTAAAGTTTTTTTGGTCTGAAAGTAATTCATGTTTAGCTGGACGACATTTCAACATGGATCACCACAGAGAAGCCGCCAAAGGAGTATTTTTTACCGTTACCTGTTCAGGTCAGTCAACTTTTGGACTTTAGCGGAGGGTAACCCAGATAGAGCTTGGGAACTCAAATTTAATTATGTTAAACATCGGACACACGACTGATTTATTGATTAGTTGTAACAATTTCTTAAAATGTGTTTGCTGCTGTATGTTTCTGTAAATTTATTTATGGAGAGTCAGTAGAGAGCTCACAAACTTTCCTCCGACTTTCGACTTGCCTTTGGGTACGAAAAATAGATTCAGGGGGATTTTCAAAGTCGTTCACCAAATATTATTATGTCTCCTGTATTGTTTGGAACCCTGCCAATCAATGAAGCACTTTCATAGTCGGTGCTGTAGTATCGACTTATTGATTTTTTAGGTAACAGTAATCGCATTTCTTCTGTGTCTTTCGGCTTTGTTCTCTGGCTTGACCTTGGGATTGATGTCGTTGACTCCTCAAGAATTGGAACTCGTTATGAAAGCTGGTTCACCTAGCGAACAGAAATACGCTGCAGTTATCCTTCCCATCAGGAGAAAAGGTTAGCGATCGATTCGTATTTAATGCATTCGCTGGAGGGGACTTGTTACACGTGCTTTCTATGGTTGTAATGAAAATCCAGCGAAATTTCTTTGGAAAATATTTATCCTTAAAGCCTCTACATTACGGCATAAGCTGGATTGGCCGCATAATTTAGGTAACCTGCTGCTATGCTCTCTTCTGCTCGGTAATGTCATCGTGAATGCTGCAATTTCGATTTTATTCGGTGAGCTGACTACTGGACTTCTGGCCCTATTCATCTCGTCGCTTGGTATTGTTATCTTCGGCGAGATCGTACCACAAAGTATATGCGTCAAGTGGGTTCTTGTTTACTTACTTTGTTTTTTGTTTCCTACGGTTATCAGTCATCACTTTCTTCGGGGTGGGTTAGTTACATGCTGTTGAAATTCTTAGTGGGCGTGGTCTCCCTCGGTGGGCGGAGCTTACCATTCATTGAAAGCTCTCGAGATCTACATGAGTGCTCTCGTTGGCAACAACCATTTATTTGCCAATCTATATATGTCTTTCAGAAAAGGTCTTGCTGTTGGAGCTCATACAATATTGATAACGCAGGTATTCATATTCATAACGTATCCAGTAGCTTGGCCGGTCAGCAAACTACTGGACTGTCTTCTTGGCGACGAATATGTAAGTATTTTCTCAGTTTTTCAAGATTTCGGCTCCATATTTATAGTCCCCCACCTATAGCGTTCTAAAACACTTACAAATGCATGAGCGGTCGCGCGACGCGGTCATGCGTCGAAACGGTGAGTATCACAACTAGTAGTCCCCAATACGTACACAGAAAAACTGAGGTGCTTCTCGTTTCAACCAGAGCGGCCAGAATTTCAGCAAGCCTACGATCGAAAACGACTTATGGAATTGATACGTATGTCAATCAAAAACGACAATGGTCAACTGTCAAACGAACTTAAAATCGCCGTCGGCGCTATGGAAATAGCTGATAAGGTGGCCGAGGACGTCATGACTAAGCTAGCTGTAAGTTGCCTATTCCTTGAGTAAATTTAAATCTTGAAAGTAGGTTGCGTTACCCAAAAAGTTAGTAATCAGTCTTTTGCAAGTCCTCATCTCGAATACTTCCGCAGAAAAATTCTGTTCGGTTCTCTGAAGTTTGAGAGTACCTCCTCAGGAGGAAAGGTAGCTCTGTTTTTTCAGGGTTTCGCAAAACCAATTTCGAAGGCAGTGGGAGATAGTCTTGATGATCACAATAATCATGCAAAAGGGAATCGCTTACGGACCATTGAACTTTTATTTCAGGACGTATTCATGATACCCGATACAACTGTACTGAACACCAAGACAGTGGCGGAAATCGTTCGGATGGGTTACACACGGATTCCAATCTATTCTGAGGGTGATAAGAACAATGTCACCGATATTTTGTTCGTCAAGGTAATCATTATCTTACTAAGTCGAATGGCTAAGTAAGTGAAAATTGGAAGGCAGAGACGCAAAGAACGCTGCGGACTTTGTCGTCTGACTCTCCCCTTCGAATAAATAGGTCTGTTTTCAAAAAAATCCTCACAATTGTCATTTCAAGGATCTGGCCCTTCTGGATCCAGACGATAACTTCACAGTCAAGACAGTCTGTGGCTATCATCGTCATCCGGTCAAATTCGTCTTCAACGATACTCCTCTGAGCGTTCTTTTGGAGGCTTTCAAGAAGGTAAGGCTTGCATGCTTGTGCATGGTGTGTGCAGTGAAGTGATTGGCATCGGCTTTGAATTCCATCGCATGCTGGAGCCGTCTTAACAACGTGCATTGTGCAGACCGGCTATTTCAAGGGCGAAGGACATTTGGCAATGGTGAAGAAGCTCGTCGGCGCCGAAGATCACGATCCATCGTATGAGCTGGTGGGCGTGGTCACTCTGGAAGACATCGTTGAAGAAATATTACAGGTACCGTACATCGGTAGGACAAGGGGTGGGTCCGAAGTGGAAATTATTGTATTCAGGCAGAAATAAATGACGAGTTTGATGTGGTCTCGGACAATGTGAACAAGATCAAGCGAAAAAATCTTCAGGTAATCAATCAACGCATAAATGATGAAAAACTATCAATTTTGGTATTTATTACCAACTGTTACTCTTTGTTATCGTAAATTACTGCTAAGCAAAAATATTTTGAAACACGCTAAGAGGCCCGGTACTAAGCNAAGAAGCTCGTCGGCGCCGAAGATCACGATCCATCGTATGAGCTGGTGGGCGTGGTCACTCTGGAAGACATCGTTGAAGAGATACTACAGGTACTGTACATTGGTAGGATAAGTGGTGGGTCCGAAGTGGTAATTATTGTATTCAGGCAGAAATAAATGACGAGTTTGATGTGGTCTCGGACAATGTGAACAAGATCAAGCGAAAAAATCTTCAGGTAATCAATCAACGCATAAATGATGAAAAACTATCAATTTTGGTAAATTATTACCAACTGTTACTCTTTGTTATCGTAAATTACTGCTAAGCAAAAATATTTTGAAACACGCTAAGAGGCCCGGTACTAAGCAGTAAAAATTACTGATACCGAGCCTATCAGCCTACCACACAAAGCTTGACCAAGATATATCGATAGGATGTACCCTTTGGGTGATGGCAGTAATCGATCTTATTGGTAATTAAGTGCACTGAGGTCCAACTCTATTGAGAAATAAATTTTTAGTGATTTGTTGTTGTTTTTATTTATTGTTCTGGTTCAGCAACGCGACATGTCCAAAATGTTCGATAAGGAAGCACCACAGATACAAATTTCACTTCAAGTGAGTTCCAACGTTTTTGCCCAAACAAAGCCCGATTCAAAGCCAGAACCACTCGACTTGGGCCTGAATATTTTCATTAGAGAGCATTTATGTAATTTTTCAGATTCAAATGGTTGCATTACAATGGTTGGTTGCCAATGAAGAAGCATTCTCACCGACCTACGTCGACAAAAACGTTTTGGAGCGGCTTATTCGTAACAGCGCCAGAAGGGTGGGTTTTGAGAGTTCACTCACATTTTGGAAGGAGCCATGAAAATGCATCGCGCTGTGTGCAAGCGAGGCTGTCAGACCCCAGACGATCGAATGTTTTCTCAGTACTCGTTTGATAAAGTTCACAATTGTCGTGGTCACTTGAGATATCAAAAGCAAGCAAGGCAATATAAAATCATTTCCAACCCTCAGATTCAGTAAGCTTTGCGGTATCCGCAGGAGGAAATCTTCCAAATAAAAGGAGCATAAGTGGAGCATCGTAATGGAAATGTTTAGAATCCAAGGGGTCATTTGTAAGCTTTCAAGCTCTAAGGGCAAGTATTAGAATCAAAGTAAACATGACTGAGTTCGGGTCGAAGGGTGCTGGTTCAAGAGAGTGGTAAGGGAGAGATGTGTCCGTGGAACAAGAAGTGTCTTCCACAAACGCTGCAGAAGATACCCCAGTGGGTGGGGGAGGCGATAGTGACGCTCAATGCAGGACACGATTCTCGCTGAGTGGAATAACGGTGCTCAATATCCTATTTCAGGTGGACATTTCTGCTTTGATGGCAATGTCCCACAGTGCAGTAAACGTACCAAAAGTCGCAAAACTCTACACCAAAGATGAGATGAGCGATCGATTCGTGTTGATTCTGGAAGGGCGTGTACAAGTAACAATCGGACAGAGCGGTATGATGTTTGAAGCCGGGCCATGGCATTCGTTTGGCAGTGAGATTCTGAAGAAACTCGTCCAAGGTGCTGCTACCCTCAGTCGTAGCACGTCGATTGTTGGTAAGCAAGGTTACTTCACGGATATAGGTAGGAAGCCTGTTTTACGAGCGCTGTTTGTTCAGATACAACCGATTTGTCCTGCCGACGTCCTGATCTGATGTTTAAACCGGATTATTCGGTTGTTGTCAAGGAGGACTGTACATACTTGGATGTAAGCGTCGCCGCCTATATCAACGCCTATAAATCGTCACTAATGCAGCGGGAGAAAGGGTGAGTTTACTACAGATAGAAAAGGGTTGAAGTGGGTGATAACGAGTATTCGCCTTCGCCTTTCCGAAGGATCAAAAGCTCCATTCACCCTGATTGAATCTAATCAATATATCGATCTTTTCAGCCGTGACGATGTTTCCTATGACGGTGGTCACTGTTCTTCTCGGTCTCCTTCGCCAACACGACGAAAAAATTGGAATATGTGGGAGGGAAAGGGATCGTTGTGTTGTGCGTGGTGTTTTGTGACATTTTTACAAATCCTCAACGTTGTGTTTTTCCAGTCCGCTCCAATTCTTGATCCATCAGCTCTTCTGGTACCAGCTAGCGCTAGAACTTCTCTAATAGAAGCAAAAGAAGCCGTAAAACAGCTCAATGCTAAGGGAAACGGTATTGGGCCCGAGAATGAGGTGGGCTAGAGTTTCCTCTAACATTTTACTCTTAGTTTTTTGTTATTTATAATTTTTTTACGATTTTTTAGCCTTCTCATTTACCTTTTTTTTGAACATTTTCCGAAGCTCATTCTAAACACCCGCTCTTTCAGGAGGAAATGAGTTTGTTACCTGTCGCGGATCGATCCGAAACTGTATAATATAAAGGCATTTAAATAGTCACTTAATTATATACGGGTTATNATATATACGGGTTATTATTCAGTAATTACTATGCTAATATATAAAGTACGCAGATTCCCAATTCAGGAGTCGCTCTAATTCTCTTTGCAGAGAAAGGGTGCGACCGTATTTGTTGATCTCATTGTTAGTTTGTGAACTGTTTCTTCGTTCCATTGACTTATTGTTATTTAAAAAGATTACTTAGTGCCTTATTGATCCTTGCAATACGATAGTCGGCTGTTTTGATAAGATTCCCTCCTATCATTGTGGTTGTTATTATTTGTATAGTTTTGTGAAACAACCTATTGTCTGATCCCAAAAGATCCATTTAGTTGAGATAATTTATACTGAACAACTGATATTTAATAAATTTTTTCAATATTTGTCTATGTTGTTTTGTGCTTGAAGTTTTCTAGTGCAGGAACACATGCAGTTCACTATGCATGATCGGGCGACAGCCGCTCGGACGCTCTTTCCTAATCAAAGAATCAGATGAGATTCAGCAAATTTGGAAAGATACTCTCAAGAAATAAGGTTAAACGATGAAAAGGTTTATTGATACCGATGAAATAATTAATGGTAATATTCGGTTGTTTGGAAAGGAATGCGCGTTGAATTTGTCTATTTATTATACTCTCTGCTACTATACATGGTTTTTCAGAACAGTTTTGTCTGAAAGAAAGAGATTTTTTATTGCGCATTTTTTGATATATTTTTGTTTATGTCTACTTTGTTTTTCTTTGAAGATAAAAAGCCTAGAAAATGCCTGACCAAAAATTCCTCTTGCGAGCTTGCATGTCGCACCACTTCAAGCAAGGCAAATCGGCTGCTGAGACTCATCATCTGAGGTATTTGGCGAAGAAGCCTTGTCAGAAAGCCAGTGTCGACAATCGTTCCAGCGTTTCAAAAACGGTATTGAAAGGTTAGAAGGACATGGAGATAACCGAGTGCTAAAGTCCGTCATTGAATTGGATACACGCCAAACCTCTCGAGAACTGGCAACACATTTTGGCTGCTCAAATCTACCATCCATGAACATGTGCTGGCAATTGACAAGACGAACAGGTGCAGAAAATGGGTATTGCACCATTGCGTCGCGGGTCGGGTCACGGGTATGGATGGCGAAAATCCTCTTGGATAAAATTGAGGTATAGGGGCTGGGAAGTACTGGCTCATCCGCCATGCAGCCCAGACCTGGCACCATCCGATTCCATCTGTTCAGGTCGATGCAGCACTCCCTGACCGAGAAAAAAATCTCAAAAAACCGCGAAGAAGTCCAACTTTGGTTGTCCAGCTACTTAGAGTCGCAGCCGGCTGAGTTCTATAGGAGAGCAATCAATTCTTTGCGTAAACGCTGGCAACAAGTCATTGGTAGTAATGGAGATTCTCTTTTGAACTGATCTTGCTTAGTTTCGTTTCCAGGATAAAAAAAATTTTAAGCTCAAACACGCATTTCTTCCCGAACAACCTAATAAATAAAGTCAAATGTTGATAACAAGTGGTATCAAATAATGATAATAAGTGATGCCAATCCAGTCAACAAGAACGAATGGCATTGAATAGTCCTGAACCAATTTGAGACTTACGATAACGATATCATCTTCTATGGAAGGATGAAGTTTCCTATGGACCGCTGACAGCCATTCGAAGCTAATTTCCAAGATGAATTACTGACGCATCTTATTACAGTCTAGCCACTGGGATTTAATCAAAATAGTTCTGATTCCTGGTGACGCATTCCAGAAGAGTTAATCACACCAAAGGGGCCCTAATTAGCCAATATTGGCCATTGACAGAGCAAACTCCTGGATTGAATAATGTCTTATGATTCCTCATAGGTGGGCTTTTTATTTTCCCAGCTGAACATCCTACTCACTATAAAGCGCTTCGTTTGTCGTTCTGCCTGTCGTTCTGTCTGTTGTCTGCCGTTATGTATGTCTGTCATGAACTCCTTAGCTCCTTTAGATCTGCCTGAAGAGGGTCAATGGGTGGGCCACGTCGAGAAGTATAAAGCCCACATCTTTTGAGAGCCCCGCCCACTGTGGGCGTGACGTGCATAGAAATGAGTTGTAGTAAGGACCATGATTTCAAATTCCGTCACAAAACGGCTTCAAAAGTGGAGTGTAAAGGTGGCTAGAGGTGTGCATAGGTAAGTTAGATCAAACTGGGGAGACCTACCCCCGATGGGCGGGGCGTTTTTCAAAAATGGAAGGCTTTATGGAAACATTTTGGGAAATCATAACTTCTGCCCCCGTGGACCTAGCAAGCAAAAATGGAAGGAGTATAGGCGGCGGGATGAGAACGCTCAATAAGGGCGGCAGGACTGGACTCCGCCAGCCGATGTACAAGTGAATGCTTCCCTCCTCCCAGACAAGTTTGCTACCAATTAGCTGACCCCGTACGAATAGAAGGCTTAGTTGGCCTAGGCGGATATCGAGCCGGATTCGAACCGTGACCATGCGAAATAGAAAGTGCGCCACTTACCACTACACCACTTCCGCCCCTGAATAAGTATTACTTTCGAAAAAACTGCATATTCTAAATAAGAGAAGATTCTCTTTTGCTTGATATTAGAATGCAGTCGTTTGGAGTTCCAGGAATGAGTCTGAAGATTTACTCTGGATGTACGATAGGCACCACTCTGGTTTTGATGTTACTTGGAAGTTACGGATGTTTTTCAGAAGGAACAATAGTTTCAGCAGTACAGGTAGGAATATATATGTATACAGCATATGTGCATACACCTATGGTGGTCGTTGAGGCAGAAGCTACCTTTGTCCTTACCTTTTGCGTCCAACGTAAGCCCCATATTGCCGATGACAGTTATTGAATTCAGCTGAACTCCAGTGACAAAGGGCAAGGAGGTGCCACAGTACCACCTTCAGAGGCATCCGACAAGTACTCGAACAAAGGCGATACTACCACCATTAGGTGAGCACGTATGCTCACTGAAATCATTACTATTATACAATCTAACTCACTGTAAGGTTGGGTACTCTCCAGCTTTCCTTCGAAAAACCACGTTGTTAATGCCTACCTCAACGTGTCATATCTACATACGCAGTTTCAGTGACGATTTCGCCTCATTTGATGCAAACGAGAAGTCCAGTTTCCCACAAAAACGCCAAGTTGACAGAAATTCTACCAGATGGGCGGAGAACATGGTAGTTTACTACTTTGATTCGAGCGTAGGTATGTTATTTTCCCTAATTTTATTATGAAACTGGTGGGTTAAGTGATCCAACGAGCCACTTTTCAGAAGAAGATGCTCAGGAAATTGTAGAGAAAGTGCTGAGTTACATCAGTGCTCGTACGTGCATTGACTTTCATAAGGACCCTTCAGCCACTAATGGAATCCGTGTGAACAAAGGGAGCGACTGCTCTTCGTCCGTGGGAATGAAAAAGGGCAAGCAAGAACTATCCCTGAATGGGGCCTGTTACACTGTAAGTTCCCCTTTCTTGAAGTTCCCTTTCTGAGTACCATCATTTATGTAGTGAAGCTGAGCTGATAGTTTTACCTTAAAGGCACAGTTCGCGATAAAAATGGTTGTGAGATGTCTACCTAGAACAAATTCGTGGCCCTTTCGTTTACCATATGTGACGCTGTCAGGTCGGAAAATGGCCTAGATAGGGCATTACAAAGGCTCGAAGATTGCACCGTGTGTATTCTCGGACGAGTTACACCAGCACTGTAGTGGCTGCACCGGGTGCACTTCGTTGCGCGTGTCTGTCGAAACTAGGTCACGCCACATCCGTCGCACGCGGCGAGTCAGCGCGCGATACTTGACAAACGTCGCAGTTGTCAGTGGCGCATACGATTTGCGCTTGGCCTACGGCAGTCAGTTCAAAGAGAAGATAACACAGACGAATGCCAATCTTTCGCCCCACTGACACTTGGTGCTACTGTAATGTCATCTCGGGACTTCAGTGTTGTGCGCCGCGCACGGAGTGGGCGGGGTGACCTACTTTCGGAGGACGCGCGCAACGGACGTTCTCCGCTGCACCAATCACGATTGAACCAATGTAGAAAGTCCAAACAATTTGTCCTGACCCATTGCGGCAGTGGAAGACAGTCCTGCACAGTTTTACTTACTTGACTTTTTCACTACCGATAATCTATTCCCAACCTATACTTCCGCATTCCGACTAAAAATAGGTACCGCAAAATTATCATGAAGTGTGCCTTTAATGAAGCTAGGTCGATTCATCCCTCTAAAATGTATTCCTACCACATTCCTGTATATATTCCTATCTTTTGATCAAATGAAAGTACCGTTTCAAAGCGCCTTCACTCAAAGTTCAGAGAATATCTGAGCGCAACTGAATTTCTCTGATTCTTTGAAGATTCGCGCTGTGGTTCATGAATTTATGCACGCCCTCGGTATATGGCACATGCAAATGCGCGACGATCGAGACCGTTACATTCGAGTTGACCTCTCATCAGTGCCGGTGATTTATTTTTTCGCTAATATCGTCTACAAGTAAAAGCCAGATTACAGAACGCTCAGAATTTTTGGAATGAGAAATTTGAACTGAAAAATTTTCTAAGGAAGACTTTTTTTGGTAAAGTGGATTAAGCGCAGCAAGGAGTCTGACGTCTTCTTCAACCGTTGTAAGACTGTGTTTCAGGAAGATATGAGGGACATCAACTACAGAAAGCTTGACAGAACTGAAGTCATCAACTACACGCCATATGATTACGGTAGTGTCATGCACTACAGTGCCAATTCGTAAGCACTACAGTAATAGGTTAAAAGACAGTAACAAAGAGTAGAGGTACTGGATGAGTAGTTGGACTTGCTTTAGGTTTGCAGTAAGTGGAAACTCACTTGTTCCCCTTCGAAAACGTTATCTACGGACAATAGGGTCTCGAATTCCATCATTTTATGACATCATGATGATCAACACTCACTATAATTGTAGTGGTGAGTAAGTGAATGGAAAAAAATCGCCTATCAACTGGTAACATGCCATTTCTCAATCACTGGAAGGGTGATCTTTGGAAGAACTTTTTTGAGATCTATTTTTTAGCTCGATGCGCAACTCCTCAGAGTGCGATTTGCTTCAATGATGGAATGCCGAATCCGAGAGATTGCTCAGTATGCTTGTGTCCATTTGGATACGGCGGTACGCATTGCAACAGAAGAGTAAGTCAAAACTGGTAAACCTTTTTCTACCTAATGAGGCTCTCGGGCTCTCATCAGGACTTCTAATTCACAGTCGAGTTTCACAACCGCTATAGAAGCAAAGTTAAGCCGGCTGGATGTGGAAAAACGCTCAGAGCCTTACCGTTTTGGAGAACTGAAACAATCTCATTTGAAAGATTCCCGGCTCATACGGACCAAATTGACTACATGATGTGTACTTACTGGATAAAGGTGAGTTTTTTTTCTGAAGAAAAAGAGCCCCGTCCTAAATGGAGCCAGTTCTCGGCAACACGAAACTGGAAACAGTCTATTTTCGTGGTGTTCGAAGTAATGAACTGGATGTTCAGCAGGCCCACCTCAGACAGGCTCAAAAAAAGTTCTTTCAAAGATCACCTTTCCGGTGATTGAGAAATGGCATGTTACCAGTTGATAGGCAATTTTTCCATTGTCTTACTCTCCACTACAATTATAGTGAGTGTTGGTCAACATGATGTCGTAAAATCTGTCCCACTTCATTTTTTTCAGGCTCCACTCAATAAAAAGATTCAAGTACGAGTAATAGAAGTGCCGACGACTCTCTGCGACTACGGGTGTACAAAGAATGCTATCGAGCCAAAGATTCTAAAAGATAAAAGGGCAACGAATCCCAGGTTGGTAGTGGTTGAGGAATATAGCTCTCCCAATGAGAAATGATGTATTTCAGGATTTGTTGCCCGGAACAACTCGATGAAACCTTAACCAGTAAACTCAATCCTACACCGATCTTCTCATACAGCATGAGCACCACATCGACGTTTACGTTTCAATACCAATACATTTGACCCTTTAACAATTCCGTAGAAGCCAAATGAATTTTAGCAGTTTTTGTTGTCGGTAGTGGTCAGGCAATCCCCCATACAAAACCTCCTCGAATCCCCTTAATTCTTGGTAAAATCAATGGAAGAAGCTTAATCACAGTGGTCTTCTGGAAGCAAAAACGAGTAGTGTTCAAGGTTGGGGATCTGGCTCTTCAACAATAGCAACCGCGTATGTGCAATAAGCTGAATTCCCAATTCACGCCGAAGCGCTTAGAGTCAATTGCCTTCATGGGCTGACATCTAGGCATTATTGGAACTGATCTCATTTTATATGAGCTCAGCTATATTGTTGTCAACTCAGCGGACCCTGCGACGGCGCGGGACAAACGCTAGGGAGAGGAAGAAACCATATTGTTGCAACCGCGACAGCTCCTGTCTCCTGAACTTTTCTGCTCTTCAGCATCGACAGCAACTTGATTCGGACAACGTACACTCCTAAATAGTACAATCAAAGGAATATCATCTAAGATGAGAAGAAGGACATTGCTCCTGCAGGGGACCTATTAAGACGCCATGTAGTCGACTACTCTTTAGGAATTCTATACATTTGAATGCACACTGGATCGTACCTCCAGCAACCTGTGCTCGTTAACCATTTTGTGATAAAAGGTGCATAGTATTTTTGAAGTAAGGTCCGAATTTTGCCGTAACTGCTACGGAGGCAGACCTAATAATGTTAAAAAACGTAGTGGAAACATGATGCATGTTTATCGAAAGACTTCTTTAGGGTCTAGCACTTCCAAATATCTGATAGATAGAGTAAGTAACCTAAAAAATCTGAGCGCGGGCCAATTGCTCTGAGACGAGTTTAGGCCTGAACCATCCGAAGTTAACTGGTATTACAGGAGTCAATCGCAAACCGTATGCGAGAAAATGACTGGTGTGTTACTCGTTCTCAAAGTGCTGTTCGAGAACAGCTTCTGTCCCTCAGACAAAGGCAGATTCGCATGGACTAAGGTAGACTATAAAACAATTCCTGAAGAGTTTCAAAGTACATACATACAGTAGCGGGGTGTGTGCCGATTCGTGCGATTCTGGGTGCGCGCGGCAAGTTGCGCGGCGAAATTCGGTGCGATTCGNACGACTCTGACGCCTATTATTGGGGCACAAACTTGAAGTAGAATAGTGGGGTATGGTCAGCTGATGCTACCAATCTACTCTACTTCAAGTTTGTGATCCAATAGTAGGCGTCAGAGTCGTTCCAATCATCACGAATTCCGCCGCGCTATTTGCCACGCGCACCTAGAATCGCACGAATCGTGCGTCCCCCGTGTATGTGCATGGAAAAGTCAATAGAAGAGGCAGTGCAGTTTTCGAAGCAGTTTTGCTATTGAGGATCAGATTCGGATGGAAACAGCGCATCAAAACCTCTTTTCAGATGGGGGACGGTACGAACGTGCGTCCGAGGGTGTGCGCGGCTAATTGCGTGTCGATTTGTACGACAGTACGAATTTTCGGGTCACAAACTCGAAGTAGTATAGTTTGGTAGGGTCAGTTGATCCTCCTAATCCACTCTATTTCAAATTTGGGCCCCAGTGATAGGTGCTAAAGTCGTCCAACCCGTCACGAACTTCGCCGCGCAATTTGCCTCGCGCATCCTCGGACGCACGTTCGTACACATACCCTTTTAACATAGATCCAAGGTGATCAATATATCGATTTTTTAGCCGTGACGGAGTTTCCTATGACGGTGGTCACTGTTCTTCTCGGTCGCCTTCGCCAGCAAGACGGAAAGAAACAATAGCCTTCCGGAAGGAGGAGGGAATCCTCATGGAGCTCCTCATTCTTTGGCTCACTTTTTGAATTTTTTTTGGAATATATTTTTCACTTTTTTCGACACCCTACCCTCAATTCCAATGCTTAGGTTTCTTCCCCTGAAGTTGAAGCTTGTCTTCCGGAATATATGGGAGGGAAAGGGATTGTTGTGTTGTGCGTGGTGTTTTGTGACGTTTTTACAAATCCTTGGTGATGTGTTTCTTCCAGTCCGCTCCAATTCTTGATCCATCAGCTCTTCTGGTACCAGCTAGCGCTAGAACTTCTCTAATTGAAGCAAAAGAAGCCGTTAAACAGCTGAATGCTAAGGGAAACGGTATTGGGCCCGAGAATGAGGTGGGAAAGAAGAGTTTCCTCTTTTTTACGATTTTTTGTCTTTTCGTTTACGTTGCTTTTTAACATTTTCCGAAGCTCATTCAAAACGCCCTCTTATTCAGGAGGAGATGAGCGTTGCGGATCGATCCGAAACTGTATAATATAAAGGCATTTAAATGGTCACTTAATTATATACGGGTTATTATTCAGTAATTACTATGCTAATATATAAAGTACGCAGATTTCCAATTCAGGAGTTGCTCTGATTCTCTCTGTAGAGGAGAAGGGCGACCGTATTTGTTGATCTCATTGTTAGTTTGTGAACTGTTTCATCGTTCCATTGACTTATTGTTATTTAAAAAGATTACTTAGTGCCTTACTGTCCCTTGCAATACGTTAGTCGGCTGTTTTGATAAGATTCTCTCTTATCATTGTGGTTGTTATTATTTGTATAGTTTTCAACCTATTGCCTGATCCCAAAAGATCCATTTAGTTGAGATAATTTATACTGAACAACTGATATTTAATAAATTTTTTCAATATTTGTCTATGTTGTTATGTGCGTGAAGCTTTCTATTGGGAAAACACATGCAGTTCACTTTGCATGATCGGGCAACAGCCGCTCGGACGCTCTTTCCTAATCAAAGAATCAGATGAGATTCAGCAAATTTGGAAAGATACTCTCAAGAAATAAGGTTAAACGATGAAAAGGTTTATTGATACCGATGAAATAATTAATGGTAATATTAGGTTGTTCGGAAAGGAATGCACGTTGAATTTGTCCATTTATTTCTCTCCTGCTGTGCGTGATTTTTTAAAACAGTTTTGTCTATTAGTAAAAGATTTTTATTGCACATCTTTTGATCTATTTTCGTTTACATTTACTTTATTTTCTTCGAAAAAAAGGTTTAGGAAATGCTTGACCAAAAATTCTTTTTGCGGATTACATGTGGTATGACTTCAAGCAAGGCAAATCGTCTGCTGAAACTCATCATCTGAGGTATTTCACGAAGAAGCCCTAACAGAGAGCCAGTGTCGACCATGGTTTCAGCGTTTCAAAAACGGTAATAAAAGGTTAGAAGAACATGGGCCCGAGTCGTCGATAACCAGGTTTAAAGTCCGTCATTGAATTGGATCCACGCCAAACCTCTCGAGAACTGGCAACACATTGTGGCTGCTCAAACTCTACCATCCATGAACATGGGCTGGCAATTGGCAAGACGAACAGGTGCGGACAATGGGTACCGCACCATCGCGCCACGGGTCAGGTCACAGGTATGGATGGCGAAAATCATCTTGGATAAAATTGAGGAACAGGGGCTGGGAGGTCCTGGCTCATCCGCCACACAGCCCAAACCAGGCTCCATCCGATTACCATCTGTTCAGTTCGATGCAGCACTGCCTGGTTGAGAAAAAATTTCAAAAACCGCGAAGAAGCCCAACTCTGGTTGTCCAACTACTTTGAGTCGCACCGGCTGAGTTCTATAGGAGAGCAATCCATTCTTTGCGTAAGCGCTGGCAACAAGTCATTGATAGTAATGGAGATTCTCTTTTGAACTGTTCTTGTTTAGTTTCGTTTTTATGATAAAAAAATTTTCAAGCTCAAACACGCATTTCTTCCCGAACAACCTAATAAATGAAATCAAATGTTGATAATAAGAGGTATCAAATAATGATAATAAGATAATAAGTGTTGCCAATTCGGTCAACAAGAATGAATTGAATAGTCCTGAACCATTTTGAGACGATGGGAGGAGTGCTCTGATGCTCTCAGAATACGATAACGATATCGCTTTCCAGGGAAAGATGAAGTTTCCTATGGACCGCTGGCAGCCATTCGAAGCTAATTTCCAAGATGAATTACTGACGCATCTTATTACAGTCTAGCCACTGAATTTAATCAAAATAGATTTGATTCCTGATGACGCATTCCAGAAGAGTGAATCACACCAAATTGGCACTAATTAGCAATATTGGTCATTAAGAGAATATGATATTGACAGACTATATGATTTCACATGACTACTCCCTTTATTTCGCTGCTAAGCCATGTTCTGATATCGCTTCCTGTGCTCCTTTATTGAAATCTACATTGTTTTTGCAGTGACTTATCTGAATGGACAAACATTACTTCGGAAATAACTGAATATTCTTAATAAGGAAAGTTCTTCTCCTGTCTGATATAAGAATGCTGTCGTTTGGAGTTCCAGGAATGAGCCTCAGGGTTAGCTTCGGACATACAATAAGCACCACGCTAATTCTAATGTTACTTGGAAACTACCAAGGTTGTCTAGGAGTAACAAGAGTTCCGGCAGTGCAGGTGGGAGTGTACCTGTATATTACATATGTGCATGAAGAATAGGGTTTCTGAAGAGCGTGTTTGCATAAGCTTTTTGTCAGCAGGAATTGTAAGACTCCAAAAGAAGTGAGTACTCTGATAAAACAGAAGCAGAAGCTGAAAAACTATACAGCTCATGAACTTGCATGTGCTACATTTTTATTTTCGTGTAAACACCTTACCTACGGTGACATTTTAGGCAGAGGCTACCTTTGTCCTTGATTTTGTAACCAACGTAAGTGCTATATTGCCGATGCATAGTTCTTGGATTCAGTTAGAGTCCAGTGACCTTTGAGTGCCGAATTACAGGGAGGTGCAACACCACCACCTTCAGAGGCAACCGATGAGTACCTGAGGGAAGGCGTTACAACCCCCGCTAGGTAAGCACGCATGCTCAATCAAATCGTTGCTATAATCGAACTACTGCGTTAAGCAGTTTCCATTTTTCCTTGAAACTTCCACATAGTTAAAGCTCCCTTGAATGAACCATTCTGGAATATGCAGTTTTCAGTGAACATATCGAAGCAAGTGTAAACCCCATTCGTCGACAAAAACGTCAAATTGACAGAAGAGCTACCCGATGGGTGGAGAACAAGGTGTTCTACTACTTTGACCCGAGCGTCGGTATCTTCTATCCGTTGATTTTTTGTCAAAGTAAACTATCGGATTGAATTATCATATTAACCATGTTTCAGAAGAAAAAGCTCAGAAAATTGTGAGAAAAGCGCTGAGTTACATAAGTGCTCGAACATGCATCGACTTTCATGAAGATCTATCAGCCACTAATCGCATTCGTATAAACAAAGGAAAGATCTGCTTTTCATATGTTGGAATGCAAGGAGGCGAGCAGGACCTTTTCTTGAACAAAGCCTGTTGCACTGTGAGTTTGCCCCCTTGAATCAATTTGAAGCCACTCATACCATCATTCATGTAGAGAAGCCGATGCTGATAGTTCTACCTTACAAAGCGACAATGAGTCGTCCTTCCGAACTGTTTTCCTAAGCGCCGCCTGGGAGCCTTGGCCTTCATTTGAGAATTACCAACCAATTTTCGGTCATTGAAAGCACCATTTCAAAGAGGTTCTCCCAACTAGAGATCACTGGAAATTTGAGCACAATTGAATTTCTCTGATTCTTTGAAGGTTGGCAGTGTCGTTCATGAATTTATGCACGCCCTCGGTGTATGGCATATGCAAATGCGAGACGATCGAGACCATTACATTCGAGTTGACCTCTCATCAGTGCCGGTGATTAATTTTTTCGTTCATATCGTTTACAAGAAAAAGTTACACCAAGAATGCTCAGAATTATCGGAATATGAAGCAGAGAATTTTTAGAAAAAGTTTTTTTGAATTTCATTTTTTCTTGATTTTTTAGAAAATCTTCAATCTTCTTCTGAAATTTTTCGTGAAAGTTTTTTTAAAGTAGACCTAGGGAATCTGGGATGCTTTTTAGTATAGAACAGAGCTGAATCAAGTTTTTTTGAAGAAAAAAATTTGAAAATGGACCATTCCATTCAGTTCTGGTTTGGTAGATTACCGCCTACAGTGTCATATCATTATTAATCATTAGCGAAGGTCACTGACGCCTTCTTGAATTGACGTAAGACTGTGTTCCAGAAAGGAAAAGAGATCAACTACGGAAACTTCGACAAAAGCCGAGTCATCAACTACACCCCATATGATTACGGTAGTGTCATGCACTATGACGCTAAATCGTAAGTGCTACAGTAATCGAATGAAGGGTATAGACCTGGACTAGGAGCACTAAATGAGTTCCGGAAATTGTTTCAGGTTTGCAAAAAGAGGAAACTCACTTTTTCCCCTCCAGAAACGTTATCTACGGACAATTGGTTCGAAAATTCCATCGTTTTATGACATTATGATGATCAACGCCCACTATAAATGTAACGGTGAGTGGGGCAGGGGAAAAATTGCCTATCAGCTAGCTGGTGACTCAATTTTCTTAATTATGGGGAGGGTGGTCCCTAAGAGAATTTTCGAAGAGTCTATTTTTTTCATGCAGCCCGATGTGCAACTTCTCAGAGTGCGATTTGCTTCAATGATGGAATTCCTAATCCGAGAGATTGCTCGGTATGCTTGTGTCCAACAGGTTACAGCGGTGCGTACTGCAACAGAAGAGTGAGTCAAACTAGTTAGTCTTTCTCTTCCCTCCCGGGCTACCTTCAGGTTTTTCTAATTCTCATTCGCAATCCATAGCTATTCATAAAAGCAATATTAAGCCCGCTGGATGTGGAGAAACACTATGGGCTTCACAGTTTTGGAGAACTGAAACAATATCGTTCACAAGAATTCCGACTCATACTGACCACATTGGCTATATGATGTGTACTTACTGGATAAAAGTAAGATTTTTTTGAAGGGAATGTGCTTAACCACCGAAATGATACGGACCTCGCAACGGTATACAGCTTCGAGGGGGGTGGGGGATGACCAGTTGGCACCAGATCTCAGCTTTACGCGAGTGGGAACAACTTCCATCCAGACCAGCATTAAGCCATTAATTAGGAGCCACTATTTATTTTTTAGTATATGTTCAGGAATGAACAAACAACTTGTTTTTTAGGGCGGAGTTGGTGTAGTGGCAAGTGGCGCACTATATCACATGCACGGTCAGGGGTTCGAATCCCGGATTGATGCCCCCTAGGCCAACCAAGCCTTCCATCCCTCCGGGGTCGGTGAATTGGTACCAGACTTGTCTGGGAGGGTAAAAGCACTGACTTGTACATCGGCTGGCCACCGCAAGTCATCATACGCATTCATTACGCCACTACGATTCTAAATGGAAATCGAGTGCGGGGGCGCATCCCTCAGGTGGTTGATTGACGTCAAAAATTTTATACTTTTACTTTATTTATTTTTTAAGGAGGATGAACTCTGATCAAGTAAAATATTCCCGTAGTAGTAAACAGATGGTTCGCAGTAATGGAATTTCATTATCCCCAACTCAGATGAAGTACCACCACAATTTTTCAGGCTCCACCCAGAAGAAACATTCAAATTCGCGTAATCGCAGTACCGACGAACCTTTGCGACTATGGGTGTACAAAGAATGCTATCGAACCAAAGATTCTGAAAAATAAAAGAGCAACGAATCCCAGGTTTGTGATGGGTGAGGATAATGGCTCTCCCACTGAGAAATGATGTATTTCAGGATTTGTTGCCCGGAACAGCTCTATGAAATCTCAACCAGTAAACTCAATCCTACACCGATCATCTCATACAGCATGAACACCACGTCAACATTCACGTTTCAATACAAATACATCTGATTTTTTGTCAGTTCCGCGAAAATAAATTCTGAATTTTCTTGATGTTTTGTTGACAGCTGCTTTAACGCCGCAGTACGAGAAGCGAAAGTCTCACAAAGTTGGCGATTTGTGGGCAAAACTCCAGTTCCGGACGGGATTCGATCCCGTAGTTGTCCTTTCCGGGGTTCTCGGACGGGTTCGAGTCCCGTCCGAGACTGGAGTTTTGCCCACAAATCGCCAACGTTGTGAGACTTTCTGAATTTTCTGTTCTTGTCAACAGCCAGGCGAACATATTGAATCAAGCTCAGTTAACTAAAGATTCTTGCCAAAGTCAATCAAAAAGGGTTCATGTAGCAAACTTTATATATTCGGAACCAGTGGTGTTCAAAACTCGGGACATAGCCCTTCAATAAAAGCACATTGCCCATTGAGCTGAATTCCCGAATCATGTCAGAGCATATAGAGTCAATCATTTCGTGGACCGCCATCTCGGCGTTATTGAAACTGATCGGCTTTCAAATGGGCTCAACCATATTGCACCCACTAGTGCGAGCTCAGGTCTCTTGCTTTTTCCTGCTATTCAAGTTCGATCCGAACAACTTCACTGTAACTTCAGAGTACGACGGTACGTTCCAGAAAATATCGTCTGAATAGGGCAGAAGCACGTAGCTCCTGCAAAGAACCTCTTGAGGGTCCATAAAATCGAATGTCTTTCTAGATTGTTATACATTCGAATGTACACTGTGATCGTGCCTCTACCAACCTGCGCTCTTTAACCCCTTTATGGTGCACGTTGCATAGTATTTTCCAAAAAAAGGTCCAACCTTTACAAAACTTTCGTTACGTAGATAGACTTGATAATGGTAGTGGAAATTAGGTGGAAGTTCATTGAAAGGTTTTTTAGGTCTACGCTAATCCAGAAATCTAGAAAATAGAGTTAGAAATCTAAAGAATTCTGAACCCAGACGAATTGCTCCAAGAAAATTTGAAACTTGAACCATCTGAAAATAACTGGTATTACAGGCATCGATCGCGAATCATATCCAAGATAAGATGATTGGCGTATTACTCCTCCTCATGGTGCTGTTCGAAAACAGCTTCTGTCTTTCAGAAAAGGGCAGAATTGCACTGACTAAGGTAGGCTACCAAAAGTTCTCTAAAGTACATACATATGTGCATGAAAAAGTCCAAAGTCGAAGCGGTTTAGCTTGGTTTGCTTCTCTTCTACTCAGTTATTCCTACGTGACCGCATGTCGCCAAGTTTTGAATAAGGACCCAGTGAGCTCAAAAAGCCAAGTGGAGGGATCAGTTCAAATATTATGTTCAGGCTTATGGAGGTATGGACATAGAGAAATGTCA